TGTGTCCCGGCCACGCTAGCGGAGAGGAGGGGCGAGGAACGCTGCGGACTCAAGCTGCCGGCCCGGGGAGCCGCAGGGCGGAGGGAGGCAGCCCAGAGGGTCGGGAAGGTGCGGGGCGTGGGTTCGTGCGGTCTGAAACCACTGGTGGTGTGCGGGGTGACTGCGTAGAGGCGGCCTCTGCGCCGGCGGAACTCGGCCGGGTTGGCGCGGCCGGGGGGCAGAGCGGCCGAGAAAAACAAGGAACATGAGGCAGGGTAGAAGACAAGGTACGAAGGGGGAGGCGTCTCCGGGGAGGTGACACTGCAGCTGAGACCCGGGTGGAAGGGCGCGCCCGGCAGAGTGAACGGCAGGTGCAGAGGCGCTGAGGCTTGTTGGAAGAAGGGAAGGCCCGCCGTGCAGAGAGCGGCGCCCAGGCTATGTCAGAGATAGAGGAGAGGGAGAGGGTATAGAGGTCCCGGCCTGGGCAGAAGGCTGAGAAGGTCAGTGCTGGCGGATCTTGTTCACCGCTGCGCCTGTGATTATTTGTGGAAGACACCAACGTGAGCTCAGCCCCGGGCCTCGTCTGAATAGGTTCGTGGCAGCAAGGAAGAGAAAGGAACAGATCAGCCCATGTTTTGGAGGAAGGAGCCAAGGTAACTTGGAGGAGGATTAGATGTCAGAGCGAAGTCTAGAAAAGAGTTCAGGGTGCAGCTTGGTGACCTGGGATGGGTCTATGGACGGTGGGGCGTGGTTTGCAATCACTGCTCTCTTCTCTACGAGGTTTTTCCAGCCGGTGCATGGTGACCCTCTTCCCGAGCTCAGTCCCTCTGGCCCCATCCAGGGGTCAATTGTGTCCCTAACCCTTCACCCTGGGCTGAGGGGTGTCAAAGGAATTGGAGACCAAAGACAGCTGGGAGGGCAGCTGGCATATGGAGTTGTCTGAGGAGGCAGTGGAGCCGGGGGATCAGAAAGGCTGCGGAAGGGTCTCAAACCCAGAGCTCGTGCCCAGGGAGCGCTGACACCCTGGGGGTGGGAGGTGGCAGCCCAGTGACCCCACCATGGCTAGAGGAGGGTGGGGGACAGGACCAGCTGGGCTGACAGCTGCTTTTTTTTTTTTAATGCTCTAAAGTAATTTAATTTCGCATGTGTATAAGCTTTAACACATTTTATATTAAACTTAAAAGCATGATTTATTCACACGCTTATGAATTTACTCAGATTTGTTTCTAAATATTACCAGTTTTTGTTGTCGAATGTGCTATCAACTGTTGGGTTTTAATAATTGAACATCCTGGCTTTTGCCACTTTGAGGATCAGCAGAAACATGTTTGGAACAAACGTGAGAAAACAAAACTTTGGAGCCTCCTTCCCTGCTGCCCTTGTCCTTCTAAGAGTCCTGGCTTCCTCCCTTTCCAGTCCCCAGTGCCAACCTGCTGAGGCCTTGGAGGCCATGAAGCTGGGGCCTTTGGGGACAGGTCTCTGGTCCTGGTTTGCTCGAGGGGACAGTGCAGGACTCCTGTGGACAGGGCATTTGGTAGCTGGCCAGAGCCCACGCACCAGACAGCAGGGAGGAAGTTCCACTGTCCCACGTCCATCCCGTCTCCCCCTTCAACATACACTTCATTTAAAAAAAAAATTATTTTATTTATTTTTATTTTTATTTTTTTGTCTTTTTCGTGACCGGTAAGGGGATCGCAACCCTTGGTGTGGTGTTGCCCACACCGCGCTCAGCCAGTGAGCGCACCGGCCATTCCTATATAGGATCCGAACCCGCGGAGGGAGCGTCACTGCGCTCCCAGTGCCGCACTCTCCCGAGCGCGCCACGGGGCCAGCCCATTTTTTTTTTTTTTTTATTTTTAAAATTTATTTTATTTATTGAATCAAAATCGATTGTACATATTTTTGGGGTTGAACATTGAGTATGTTGATTAAATCAATATTACTAGCATATATATTGTTACAAATCGTAATTATTCTTTATGCCCCTTGTCCAACCTCTGCCCTTCCCCATTCCCTCCCCCTCCCCCCTCTAATTGCCCTAGATTTCTTCTCTCCTTCTTTTTTTTTTTTTCCTTTTTGAGACCTGCCGCACCGCACTCAGCCAGTGAGCGCTGTGAGCGCACCGGTCATCCCTATATAGGATCTGGACCCGCGGTGGGAGCGCTGCTGCTCTCCCAGCGCCGCACTCTCCCGGGGCTCGGCCCTCTTCTCTCCTTCTGAAAGAATAATGGTTACTCTGTTAACTTGTTGCCTAGATGATCTGTCCAATGCTGAGAGATGTGATCAGGTCCCCCAATATTATCATAGAGCAGATGCTTCTGTCACTCTGAAACGGGTTTTGTGGAAAGAGACATCCTCTTCTGTTCTTTATCTCTGCTGGTGACTCTTGTGTGAATGCACTCCAGTGGTGTGAATGCACTCCAGTGGTTGGTGGACCATCTGCGTGGTGGCTGTGGCATCTAGCCACTTTTGCAGCAGTCATGGTTACTGTGGTGGCTGGGGTGGGCCACCCACGTGGAGGTGCTGTTTTTGGCATGCTCCTTGGCACTGGTGGTATGCCTGATTGTGGAGTGTGTTTGGCCCCCTTCTCCATGCCTCTGGTCCCTGGGCAGGCCCCAAGATGTGGCACCATGTGCCTGGTTGTGGGAGAGGGGTCCAGTCCCCTTCTCCATCTCCCAGGTCCCTGGGTGGGCCCTGAGGTACTGGTGTGGTGTGCCTTGTTGTGGGAGGAGGGTCTGATTCCTCCATGCCTCGGGTCACTGGGTGGGACCCAAGGCACTGGCTTGGTGTGCCTGGTTGTGGGAGAGAGGTCTGGTCCCCTTCTCCATGCCCCGGGTCCTTGGGTGGGCTCCGAGGTGCTGGCATGTTGTGCCTGGTTGTGGGAGGGTGGTCTGGTCCCCAACTCCATGCTCCGGGTCCCTGGGTGAACCCCAAGGCACTGGCTCAGTGTGCCTGGTTGTGGGAGGGGGATCCAGTCCCCTTCTCCGTGCTTCAGGTCCCCAGGTTGGCCCTGATGCACTGGTGCAGTTTGCCTGGAAGTGGGAGTGGGGTCTGGTCCCCAGATCCAAGCCTCCAGTTCCCAGGCAGGCCCCAAGGTGCTGGTGGTGTGCCTGGGCTGAAACTAATTTTTTGTCCTTTGCTTCTAACATGGGGCAACTTCCTGTGGGAACCAGTACTTGAGCTGTGTGGTTGTTTAAATTGCTACTTTGCTGCTGTTTCCCTAGGGAAGGCTTTTTGTGCAGCTCAGGGTTTAATGGTTGACATTATAGGTACTTCCGGCTCTCCAGAGACCCGGTGGATCTGTGTTCTGTAGAATCTCTGATCTGGGCCTGAGTTTTTTCATCAAACTGCACCCAATGCAATTCTGCATTCCTGACCAGTCTCCTCTGAGTGGTCCTGTGCTGACTGGGGGGCAGATCAGCTGTCCTTGCTGTGCCCCAGTGTTTCCCTGGTGGGTATGTCTCCCCCACCACCCGTGCTGCAAACACTTCCCATGGGACGGGCCTTGTGAAGACTCACCAGCCTGAG